CTGAATGAAATAACCGAGTGATTTCAGTAGTTTTTTTTAATATTAATTTTAATTTATTTTATATGAAAAACCAACTGATTTCGGTCGGTTTCTTAAAAAATAAATTTTGCGGGATGCTAAAATAGTTTTTCACATTTTTGTGCCCAAAAAACTTACCGACGTCAGTCAGTTTCATAAAAAAAAATTAAAAATTAAAATATTTTGAAAAACCGACCGATTTCGGTCGGTTTTTTTGCGCGGTCGGTTTTGGCACTAGTAGTGATGACAAGTATTTTGGGATGGAGGAAGTAGTAGAGAGGAATTGGAATAAGTGCTATTTTTAGTTCTTTGAAAGCTAGAACTCTACTTTGAAATTCCATGACCACAAGTAATATTCTTTATTTGGAACTGCAATTGTTAAGCTGTTTCTCACCAAATCAAGGCAAGTGTACAAGTTGTGCTTGAAAATCTGTTTTAGAATCTAGTTGTTGTAGCTTTCTTCTTTAATATTTGTTCTTGATTTTTCGTATATATTATATGTGCCCGAAAGATTTAACGTATCCAACCTGTGAACTTACTAAAGCAGTTGCCTTGTCGTATCTAGGCCATGGGAATTCAGTTCCAAGAGGAAACAATAATAGACATCCTCAGCAGGTTACCCGTGCGATTTCTTCTTCGATTCAAATGTGTTTCAAAAATTTGGAAGAAATTAATCTCTGAGTCTTACTTTAAGGCCCCGTTTGGTCATGAGTTTTGCCAAAATAAATTTGGGATTTATTTTCAAAACTCATGTTTGGCCATAAATTTTGCCCATATTTTGGCCAAATCCCAAATCCCAAATTTCAAATCCTAAAATTTGGGCCAAAATCCCAAAACTTGGGAATTATATACATGTTTTTCTAAAATAAAGTTGGAAAATATGTTTTGAAAACGTATGTCCAAACACATTTTCATCTTCAAACAAAACTTTACCCAAATCAGATTTTTCAAAACAAATTTGGGATCTATGGCCAAACGCTGGCTAAGATGAAGCATCAAAGTCATGCTATGAATGACTTAAATTCCAAAAAGCTTCTCGTTAGCCAACAGCGCATTGGTAAACTAATGTATAACTTCTATTGTTCTTCTTTATTATCGGTTCAACTTGTTGAGGATGTACAAATACTTGATTGCCCTTCAAATTGCAAACAATGCGACTGCAGAATGTATTGTTTTTGTGATGGATTATTGATTCTTCTCGCGATTGATGAACAACTTTTGTTGTGGAATCCTTCCACAAGAGAATCAATACAACTTCCCCGTTCAGAACTTACACTAAGAAATTCTACTTGTGGATTGGGGTATGACAGCAACTAGTGATGACTACAAGATCCTTAAGATTAACTATTCTCTTGAAGTATACATTGAAATTCTCACGCTAAAAAGTGGTTCCTGGAGAAAAAAATTTGAATATCCAGGTAGCCGTTTTGACCCAGTGTTGGGTTGTATGGATCCTTTGGCATTTGTACATGGAGCATTTCATTGGCTTGGTCTGAAACAAAATTATTCTATAATTTCATTTAGTATTTCGGATGAGGTGTACGGAGAGATACCGTTGCTAGAGCAACTGCTCAATGAATTCAGAATAGTCATCAAACGTGGTGTTTCTATATTATACTGGGAGGAATGCTTTGCTATTATTATACTCATATATCTCTAGGGGAGAGAACTTTTAAATTCTCGGTAATGAAAGAGTATGGTGTCAAGGAATCTTGGATTGAGTTGTATACAATACGACTCCTTTATTCATTCACACCGAAATATAGGTTTGCGGATGGTGAAGTGCTACTCTGCCATAGATGTTTGGGCCAAGTTGGCTCTGTATTTAGTACATCCAAAGGACCATTTGGTTTTTGGCTTGAATGTAATACCCGTCAGGAAGGAATAATTTATACAGAAAGCATGATTTCTCCAAAATCACTTATTTAGTTTGCTTATGTATAGTCGAGACCTTTTTTAGGATACTATGTAACAACCTCTTATTCTGATAAGTTTATCTATTGTTCCTTAATTTTTTGTTCCGAAAGGTATTTACTAAAGCTGTCAGCTTACTCTCGTTCTCAGACAGCAACGGGAGCCATTTTTTGCCAAGGAAGAAGTGCTTGAAACCCGCTCCTTTTACATATTTTGCTTGTCTAATCGTATATACTAATTGCTACGAGTAACGCGCTGTTTGCACTTAAAATATACAGTGATATAATATAATCGCTATTGCACCTCAATCTCAAGTTAGTTTTTTTTTTTTAAGAAAACAAAACCACCCGGCTGTGTGCCTAGGTGGGAACTTTTATTAATATCTCAAAAATTATGCATATAAATGTGACTCTATAGTAATCAAGTTGCTATATCTAGACTATACAAGTAAGTTGAAATCGACTATACATTATTCACTATATCTAGACTATCTAGATATATAGTAAAATTCAAAAATATTGCAAGTTGAATTTTCAAAACATCAGAAATAAGAAATTTTCTTAAATTATCTGCCTCAAGGTTAATTGACTCACTCAAAATTAACTGATTCTGAATAACTGATGTGGGATAAGACTGGATATGTCGTTGTTGTTGTTGAATAACTGATAGCAACTTTGGGTGGAGACTGAAGAGTGATACTGAGACATTTAGAACAGTAAAATAACAAAAGTGCCAGTCAAGCTGAAAAACAGCAAACTGAAAGGAAAAAAGTTAAAAAGTATATGAAAAACAGACCGTACATTCTTTGCTATATCACTAGCCGCTGTTCATTTGCAAATTAATAACTTTGCTCACACATTAGCAACAACAGATAGAAACCCACAATCTGGGACTTAAAGGAAACAAATGGAAACAAATAAGGCAATAACTATTCCACTATATTATCAGTGTCACTCCGAGCAGAACAATGCGGATTCTATTTAGACAAGCAATTACTCAATGATCATTAAAATAACTGCCTCACTGAGAAATGTTTGAGTAATAATTCAAACCTTTATACATGACTTAAATTATATTAATCATCCAAAAACCAAAAGAACCTCAGAATAGCTACTTACAATGATAAAATCTCTGATGATACCCTAAATAACCTCCTTGTTACCCTTCTGTGCTTGCTACCACGTCGAATTCTAGTAACAGTAAATGTACTTGAATGGAAAAATTTACACGAGCATGCTTATAGCCCGTTTGGCCAAGCTGCAAAAATCAGCTTATTTTGAGAAATGCTTTTTTTCCAAAGTGCTTTTCTCAAAAGTACTTTTGGTGAGAAGCAGTTTGTGTTTGGCTAATTAGTTTGAAAAGCACTTCTGAGCAGCAATTAGTGTTTGGCCAAGCTTTAAAAAACTGCTTCTAAGTGTATTTTTCTCAAAAGTGCTTCTCAAAAAAGTGCTTTTGGAGAGAAGCTACTTTTTTCTGCTTCTCCAAAACTGCTTCTGCTTCTCCTCAAAAGCACTTTTTTTCCTTCCAAAAGCTTGGGCAAACACCTCAATTTTTGGCCAAAAGTGCTTTTGGCCAAAAAACAGTACTTTTGGCCAAAAAGAAGCTTGGCCAAACAGGCTATTAGTTTCATCAACTTCTGGCTGGAAGAGAAAGCACGTTAGTTGAGTGAGTTACTCTATCTTGCTTTCTAGGGCTGCATAGAACATAAAGGGTTATGTCATGAACAGAAACTTTCTCACTACAAGCACTTGGGTTTGTTCTGTCACAATCCTAAGCATAATTGGGATGATCATATCATACTCGCATTAACCTAGCCCTGTAGCTATAGTTTTTGGATTTCAAGCTGTCATGTTTTCATTTGATACAAATGCTATCACAATGACTAACAAAATTATTCTGGAAATTATAGAGCAGAGGAAACTAATTGTGATGTAAGGCATTAGAAGAGGTGCGCTGAGAAGGAAAAGATAAAGGGTTTTCACAGGATAGATCTCGATGTTTCTGTTTTCCTTTGAGGGAAAGTAATTGGAGAGTACATATGGTTAGACACAAAATATCGAGAACCTGCTGGTGTTTTCTACTTGCTGACATTAGAATCTTAAGCTCTCTGTGACATTCAGCCTAGTAACAAGGGTTAAATTAACCCAGCAATCTTTGACCTAATTTGCAATTCAGGGTCCAAGATGGTTGTCTTACCTTCATCATACTCCAGTCTCACATTCAACATCAAGATTCTCAACTTTGGTCTGCTTCACCATGTGCTATACAATATTTCCAGAATATATTGGCCTCCACCATAGTTCCTCCACGAATCCATGCTCTTGGGCCATTCTCAAGGCTTTGGCTACCTACACATCCCAGAAGAATTTTGAGAAGGTTTTCAGCATTTCAGAGTTGCATTGCTGCACTGCTACCCCATTATCAAGTTCTCCTGTAACTGTATTGTTCCTGAAGTTCAAGAGAGCAGCATTAACTCATTTCTGTTTATTTTGACAGTAAAAATCATAAACGTCAGTATGCAGCACCAAGTAACATAATTGACGTCATTGATGAGGAACCAACACAGCACAAAAACCAGATATACACAAGACAGACGAAAACACAGTGGCCTTTCCACTTTCTGAGTGGATTCCGAGCAAATGTAGTGTTAACAGGCTTTTTAAGAACTGAAATAACTCCTTTATGGGAGATTCTGTGAGAGAGTTCGACCCATGTTGTTAAGAAATATGCACATGAAGCATCATATGTGATATTACCAAAAAGATTGTATATAACAAGACCTTAATGCATGATTGAGTAGACCCTGAGTTTCATATAAATGTCTGACATGTGTAACTGTATGCCTGAGCACGAAGAGAAAAAGTGGGGTAGAAAATGTAACACACTCTCAAAACACAGTAGGTAGAGCTCAAGATACTTAAACTTTAGGGACAGAATACAAATTTTCCTTCATCTGGTAGGAACTAGGTACATAGTCACTACTGTGAATATTTGCAGTTTAAGAACATGAAATGTAGATAAAATATCAAGACTGCTGTCTTTCCGGGTAAAGGTCCCTTCAGCTCATACCTAGATGCTTCCCTAGAGAATCTGCAAGATAGTCTTGAGTTTCTCCCAACAAGTGCAAAAATCATCTCGCAACAAGCGCAAAAATCATTCAATTGGCACCAGTATTTTCCAGAACCTCTGGCCATTATGTTATTACTTCTGCACCATTCAGAGAGGCAGAGACTATGAGAGTAACCTGCTTTTAACGATGTGCTAGAAATCAATAAAGTAGTCAGAACCAGCCTTATAAGGCAAGAAAGAACCTTCTAATACATTTGATGGATGACTGCAGATATAAAAGATGCTTGTGTATATGACACAAGCAATTTTGGTAGGAATGCATCATCCCATCCCAACCTTGTCCTACATGATAATCAAGTCCAAAATGATTTCACATTACCACAGTTAATTTGAACGAGTCTTTGATAGTTAACCATTGCATATATGGGAGATTATTTTTGCACTACCAGTAGTCTCCACAGGAACAAGAACCATTATGAAAATGATGGAACCGATTTGTGTCTCTCAAGATGATTTCCCTATTCACCACCTTTGAAGCAAACTTAAATGCAGTATGGCAATCACCACAAACTCTGATGTTCTTCTTTATACGGATAGGGGACCCAGGTGGAGAATTGAGAAGAGCAAATGCTAAAGCAAGTCGTTCACTATGGTATTGCAATCTCTCTTCCCTCTCCTGCTGATCCGTAAACCAAAGCACGTGGCTAGTGTCTGGGACATAGCCAATTTCCTTGATTTTATCAGTTATCTTCTCCCACATGTTACGGATCTCCTCTCTCTGTGGATGGGCATCATCATTTGCTACAAACATATGAACAGCATTCTCAATCTCCACCCAACTACAAGCAGGTTCTTTCTTGACTCCACCCTCGTTCATCATTTTTCTAACTTTTGCAGCATCACTTCTCCTACCAGCAGAAGCATAGATGTTAGACAGCAAAATATGTGGCCCTGAATCATAGGGATCAAGTTCAAACACACGTTCAGCTGCATAAACACCCAATTCCAAGTTTTTATGCATCCTACAAGCTCCAAGCAAAGCTTTCCAAACAGCTGCATTTGGTTGAATTGGCATTTCATTTATGAATTTTTCAGCACGGTCAAGGTGACCTGATCGACCAAGTAGATCTACAATGGTCACATAATGTGAAATATTAGGCTCTATCTTAAATTTCTTCATCAACTCAAAATAATGCATTCCTTTGTCTAGAAGACCAGCATGACTGCAAGCTGTAAGAGCGCAAAGAAAAGTCACTTCATTAGGTTCAGGTCCTATCCTACGCATTTCCTCAAAGCATTCTACAGTTTCTTTTCCGAGTCCATGCTGAGCATAGGCGGTAAGCATTGAGTTCCAAGAGACCACATCCTTTTGCACCAACCGATCAAAAACCTTCCGGGCATCATCAATGCTACCAGACTTAGCATACATATCAAGCAGAGTATTCCCAATAAAAGCAATAAGTTCCAACCCTGACTTGATCATATGCACATGCACCCATTTCCCGGGCTCTAGAGCTCCAATGCTTGCACAAGCTGCATAAACACTTGAAAATGTAAAGTGGGTCGGCTGAAAACCGCCTCTATTCATCTCAGAGAAAAGCTTCACAGCAATTTCTCCCTCACTTTTCCTCGCATGCCCAGCAATCAAAGCATTCCAAGAAACCTCATTCTTGCAACTTAACTTGTCAAACACAATTTTCGCTTCGTCCATTAGTCCACACCTTGCATACATATCCACAAGAGCACTCCCAACATACACATTCTCCTCGTATCCAAACTTCACACACGACCCGTGTAGTTGCCTGCCCGTTCCACCACTGTCCAACGCCCCGGAAGCCTTGAGAACACTGCCAAAAGTAAACTGATTCGGCATAAACCTAAACCTCAACATCTCACAGAACAAAACCAAGGCCTCCTCAGCACCCTCATTCTGCGAATACCCAGTAATCAACGCAGTCCAAGAAACCATATCTCTTTCAGGCATTTCATCAAACACCATGCGAGCATCATCCATGCTTTCACACTTCGCATACATATTAATCAACGTGTTATTCGGAACAATATAATGTCTAAACCTCGACCTCAGGAAGTGTTCGTGAACCACTTTGCCTTCTTTAAGCCGTTTCCATTCCGTACATTTTTTCAGTAGCTGGTTATATAAAGTGGCATCTGGGTCCATTGCGCCATTGTCAATAAGATACAGTACTAAAAGTTCCCCATTTGGAGCCTTTTTCAGAAGATCTTTGTCTTGTATAACACCAATAAATGAACCAAAACGTTTGTGTACCGGTCCAGTTTCTGATTCTAAGGCTGATACTGCACTTGACGTAGAAGAAAATTGCCGAGCTATGGGGATGATTGAATTGAAAATTGATGGATTTGTCACGTACTTTTTCATGTGTATCGCCCTTGTCATCATCTCTCTCACCTGCAGCTCTTACTCTTAAGTGTTTCTCAATTACAAATGGGAAGACAACATGCTGTAATCTAGTATTTTAAATTTTTATGCACTCAATATTTATACAATCAAACTCATTTATAAATTAATTTTACTTGCACATTATATTAAAAACGGAAAAGGTCCAATAATATTCTTAAACTATTGGATATAGCTTAATTTTCTTCTCTATTAGTAAACTGGGCCATTAATATCCCTCACGTTAGCAAACTGGATCAATAATGCCTTCATTTTAACGGCAGTCCATATAAGCCTTCTCAAAGGCATCAATTAGTTGACATGGCATCCACATAAGCGGATCTCTCTTAAACATGTTCCAATAACCCATTAGCCCGTAAAAAAAATACCCGATTCTCAATTAAATATAGGATTAAAAAACGTAAAAGGTTCCCGCAACTAACCAACTTTAGTACCAACGAATCTGCTCCGGAATAGTTCCCGCAAATTCTTTCATGGACCTCTCTCATCACGTAGTTTGCCTCTGAGGCTCCTAAACATTGGGCTAACGGGCCTTGGTACGATCTCCTATATAATTGCCCACCCATGAGGCAATAACGAGCTGCCTTGGTGCGTAGTGCTCAAGACGCCTTCAGGTCTTTGGGCAATTTGCCATGCCGAAGATATTCGGCGAACTCATTTCTCCAGTCCCAGACTAGGTTGGTTGTGTTCACTTTACAATAGCCATCCACATCCAATACCGAATGTAGAAATTGAACGACAGTACTGGAGTCAGATCTTTTCATATTCGTAGATGAGCCCAAGTTAGCCAACGCACCTACTTATTCGTTCTATTCTCTCGAAATGTGTGTGATCGACCATTTTCCTAAATCGTGCAAGCAATGCCTGAATTTTATTCACATACTGCTACATGTGTTCCTCCTTTGTGTCGAAAATCCCGTAAACCTGGTTTACTACCAGCTGGAAATCACATTTGATCTTTATGGCCTCGGAGCCAAGCCCCGCCAGTTCGAGCCCTGCAACCAAAGCCTCATACTCGGTTTCATTGTTAGTTAACGGAACAATTTTAATGGCATGCCTCAGGGTTTCCCCTGAGGGCGTGGTTAGAACCAGCCCGAGCCCGGACCCTTTCACATTAGAAGCTCCATAAGTGAACAAGGTCTAAACTCCTGATGTCGTTTCCGACGCCAGCACCGCTTCTTTAGCAACCAAGGGCATTAACCCGTGACTGAAATCGGCCACAAAGTTAGCCAATATTTGTGATTTGATCGCAATCCTAAGCTTGTATTCAACATCAAACTCACTAATTTTGACTGTCCATTTGGTCAACCGGCCTGACAACTTAGGCTTGTGCAGAACATTCCGCACGGGGAAGGTTGTCACAACGGCTATCAGGTCGCACTGAAAATAAGGCCTAAGCTTAGGCCAGCTTTTCGAGGTACGGATAACGAGTCTCCGCTCCTAAAAAAATTTTTACTAACATAATAGACAGGAAAATTGTGTACCTTCGTCCTCTCGGACTAGAACGACACTTACCGCTACTTCCAAGACCGCTAGATACATCAGCAATTGTTCACCTTCCCCCGGTTTTGATAGTAGCGGGGGGCTTGATAGGTAATGTTTCAGGTCTTTCAAGGCCTGATGGCATTTCGGAATCCATTCGAAGTTGTTCTTCTTCTTCAGAAGTGATAAGAAGTGATGACATTTTTTTGAGGATCGAGAGATGAACCTGCTTAAAGCGGCCAATCTTCTGGTTAGCCTTTGTACTTCTTCTACACTTGTTAGCTGGTCCGGGATGTCTTTGATTTTATCGGGATTCACCTTGATCCCTCTGTGTGAGACCATGAACCCCAAGAACTTACCGGAGCCAACCCCGAACGCATAATTTTCTGGGTTGAGTTTCATGTTATGCTTCTTCAAGATATCGAAGGTTTTTTGGAGGTGTTTCAAATGATCACCTGCATTCAAAGACTTAACTAACATGTCACCAAGTACACTTCCATTGTTTTGCTTATTTTCCTCGCGAACATCTTGTTCACGAGCCTCTAATAGGTGGCTTCGGCGTTTTTTAAGCCCGAAGGGCATCACATTATAACAATATGTGCCAAAGTTCATTATGTATGAAGTTTTTTCCTAATCCCCCGGGTTCATCTTTATTTGATTGTACCCGTAATAGGCATCAAGGAAAGTCATTAACTCGTGCTCGACCATTGTATCAATCATTTGATCAATATCTGGCAATAGGGACGAGTCTTTAGGGCACGCCTTATTCAAGTTTTTGTAATCTATGCACATTCTAAACTTGTTATTCTTCGTTGGAACTACAACTACATTAGCTAACCATTCGGGATACTTTACCTCCAGGATTGAATCGATATCGAGTAGTCGAGTTACCTCTTCCTTAACAAACATGTTTCTGACCTCGGATATTGGGCGTTTCTTTTGCCTTATTGGAGGGAAGCTCAGGTCCAGGCTTAGCTTGTGCACGACCACCTAATGGGATACCTATCATATTTGAGTGCGACCATGCAAAACAATCAACATTAGCGTTAAGGAAATTAATTAATCCTGACTTGAGTTCGGGATTGAGTCCTGTTCCAAGTGAAACTTCCTTTCCAAGAATTCTTCGAACAAAGCCACTTGCTTGAGTTCTTCTGCAGTGGACTTGGCTGCATATGTCTCCTCCGGTACCTGAAAGTATCTCGGCACCTGGTGGGATTTCGACGACTCCTCGCCTTTATCATCTTTACTGGTTAAGGAGAATGTGTTGGTTCCGGTAATTGCTATTTACTGTGCTCCTCCACTTTATTTTTGGAAACTGACACTGCATTCATTTCTCTTGCCGCTTATTCCTTCCGGGATCGGGAATTTCAACATTTGATGATATGTTCAAGGCACAACCTTCATCTCATGTATCCATGGCCTTCTGAGGATTATGGTGTAATGTCACGACCCGGATTTTCCACCCTCGGGAGTCGTGATGGCGCCTACTAGTGAAAGCTAGGCAAGCCAATTATTCCAGTTATTTAACCCTTTTCATTTTTAATCCCTTAACAATTGTGAATAAATATTATATAAACAGCGGAAATAAATAAGCGGAAGAATGAAATGTAACAATTTAATAATAATACCGATACTAATCCATAAACATAAACTACCAAGAATTGGTGTCACAATCTCACAGAATGTCTAAGAATACTACAAATAGGAGTCCGAAAGATAAATACAATGTTGTTTCTGAAATACATAAAAGAAACAGTATGGAAAGATTGAAGGAGACGCCAAGGCCTGCTGACGCCTGCAGTACTATCTTGGGTCGCCTGATGGACTGAAAGCAACAACCTCACTGTGGTCCAAAAGCTGCAGCACCGGGATCTGCACACAGTGCAGAGTGTAGTATCAGCACAACCGACCCCATATGCTGGTAAGTGCCTAGCCTAACCCCGGCGAAGTAGTGACGAGGCTAGGACCAGACTACCAAATAAACATGTGCAGTTAATTCATATACAGCGAAAAAATAAAGGCAGAAATTTACAAGTAAAGATAGGAGGGGGAAAACATGCTGCGGGGAAATCAAGTAACAACAGAAAACTAATAGATAAACGTAAAGAACACTATAACTAAATTATCAGCAAGAATCAGGAAAGTCAAGGACAAGTGCACGGCATCACCCTCCGTGCTTTTACTCTTGTCCTCACCATAAGAATCAATATAATCGGCACGGCATCACCCTTCGTGCTTTTACCTCACATAATCATGGCACGGAATTATCCTTCATGCATTATCACTCATATCATGGCACGACATTGTACATCGTGCGGCACGGCATCACCCTTCGTGCTTTTACCTCACAATATCGGCACGGCATCACCCTTCGTGCATTAACTTTCTCTCTCACAAATATCATGCACGGCATCACCCTTCATGCTTTTACACTCTTCCTTACCCAAGCAACAATCACAAAGCAATACAGGCAAGGGAATCAATAAATTCACAATAGAATCCCAGCAAGGGAACAATAGCATAACAATAATATCCTGGCAAGGGAAACAATATCAAAAGCAATAACATCCCGGCAAGAGAGATAATATCAAAAGCAATAACATCCCGGCAAGGGAGATAATTGATAACTACAGATTATGATGCATTTTACACTCCGTCTTACTTTAGTTTTGATTAGAAATGTGTACAAAATAGTCCCAAAGGCTTACGTGTAGTACTTGATTGCAGGGTTTGATCAACAAGGTGACAATTCATCAAAACCAGCTCAAAAAGGAGTGAAACATGCACAAGTACCAAGAACAAGTCCAAGCTCAGTGTTACAGGACCAATGCAGCCGCACTCCATTCTGTGCGATCCGCAAAGAAGAGTTTCAGAGAGCACTCATCTCAGGCAGCAAAGCAATGCGGCCGCACTCCATTCTGTGCGGTCCGCAAAGAAGAGGTTTAGAGAGTGTTCATTTTTGACAACTAAGTAATGCGACCGCACTCCATTCTGTGCGGTCCGCAGTGATTTCATTGCGGCCGCACTCGTTTTTGTGCGGTCCGCAAAGCTCAAGTTCAGAGAGTTGCCAAGTTGGAGGAAATTGCCAATGCGGTCCGCTGTCTATTTTGTGCGGACCACAACGGAAGCCACCGCGGCCGCGGTGCATTTTGTGCGGCCCGCAGTTGCCAAGTTCAGAGAGCAGGAATTTCAGCCAAGAGCCTTAGTGCGGCCGCACTCGATTTTGTGCGGTCCGCACTAGCCCCGCATGGGTATTTTTGTCTAGAATTTTCTGCCTAGTATAAATAGTTTCTTTTCCCATTTTTAGGTCATCAGTTAGATTTTGAAGTTGAGTTGCGCTCGTGAATAGTGTTCTTTTACCATTTTGAGTAATTTTACAATAGTTTTATCATTGAATCTTCAAGTTTTAGTTAGTAATTTAATATTATGGGTTTATCTTCATCTATTTCTTTATTTTACTCTATTATCATGAGTAGCTAGACCCATCAGCTAGGGTTGTGGCTCAACCCTAGTGTGGGTAATTGATGGGTCTTGTATTTTAAGACTTGAATGTCTAT